GCTTGAAGAAAGCATGGAAGATACTAGAGAAACCCTATCTGGAGAAATAAAAGAACTAAAATCTAACCAAGTCGAAATCAAAAAGACTATTAATGAGGTGCAATCAAAAATGGAGGCTCTAACTGCTAGGATTAATGAGGCAGAAGAGAGAATTAGTGATATAGAAGACCAAATGATGGAAAATAAAGAAGCTCAGAAAAAGAGAGATCAATAACTACTGGATCATGAGGGAAGAATTCGAGAGATAAGTGATACCATAAGACAAAACAATATTAGAATAATTGGGATCCCAGAAGAAGAAGAAAGAGAGAGAGGGGCAGAAGGTATATTGGAGCAAATTATAGCAGAGAATGTCCCTAATTTGGGGAAGGAAACAGGCAGCAAAATCCAGGAGGCACAGAGAACCCCCCTCAAAATCAATAAAAATAGGTCAACACCCTGATATCTAATAGTAAAACTTACGAGTCTCAAAGGCAAAGAGAAAATCCTGAAAGCAACTTGGGACAAGAGGTCTACAATCTATAATGGTAGAGACATTAGAATGGCAACAGACCTATCCACAGAGACCTGGCAGGCCAGAAAGGACTGGCATGATATATTCAGAGCACTAAATGAGAAAAATGTGCAGCCAAGAATACTATATCCAGCTAGGCTGTCACTGAATATAGAAGGAGAGAGAAAAAGTTTCCAGGACAAACAAAAACTAAAGTAATTTGCAAACATGAAACCAGCCCTACAAGAAATATTGAAAGGGGTCTTCTAAGCAAAGAGAGAGCCTAAAAGTAACATAGACCAGAAAGGAACAGAGACAATATACAATAACAGTCACCTTACAGGCAATACAATGGCACTAAATTCCTATCTTTCAATAGTTACCCTGAATGTAAATGGGCTAAATGTCCCAATCAAAAGACACAGGTTATCAGATTGGATAAAAAAACAAGACCCATCGATATGCTGTCTGCAAGAGACTCATTGTAGACCCAAAGACACCTCCTGTACCTCTGAAACAAATAATGCAATATATGTTAAGAAAAAAAAAAAGAAAGAAGAAGAAGAAAGCAGGAGGGGAAGAATGAAGGGGGGAAATTGGAGGGGGAGATGAACCATGAGAGATGATGGACTCTGAATAACAAACTGAGGGTCCTAGAGGGGTGGGGGGGGGGGAGGGATGGGTTAGCCTGGTGATGGGTATTAAAGAGGGCACGCTCTGCATGGAGCACTGCGTGTTATATGCAAATAATGAATCATGGAACACTACATCAAAAACTAATGATGTAATGTATAGTGATTAACATAAAAATAAAAAATTTAAAGAAAAAAAGAAAGTGAGGGGGGTGGAAAACCATTTACCATGCTAATGGACACCAAAAGAAAGCTGGGGTGGCAATCCTTCTATCAGACACATTAGACTTTAAAACAAAGACTGTAATAAGAGATGAGGAAGGACACTATATCATACTTAAAGATTCTATTCAACAAGAAGATCTAACAATTGTAAATATCTATGCCCCTAACATGGGAGCAGCAAATTATATAAGCCAATTAATAACAAAAGCAAAGAAACACATCAACAACAATACAATAATAGTAGGGGAATTTAACACCCCCCTCATTGAAATGGACAGATCATCTAAGCAAAAGATCAACAAGGAAATAAAGACTTTAAATGACACACTGGACCAAATGGACTTCACAGATATATTCAGATTATTCCATCCCAAAGCAACAGAATACACATTTTTTTCTACTGCCCATGGAACATTCTCCAGACTACATCACATCCTAGCTCACAAATCAGGTCTCAACTAGTACCAAAAGATTGGGATCATTCCCTGCATATTTTCGGACCACAATACTTTGAAACTAGAACTCAATCACAAGAGAAAAGTCAGAAAGAACTCAAATACATGGAAGCTAACGAGCATCCTACTGAAGAATGAATGGGTCAACCAGGATATAAAGAACAATTTAAAAAATTCATGGAAACAAATGAAAATGAAAACACAACTATTCAAAATCTTTCGGATGCAGTAAAAGAAAGTATATAGCAATACAAGCCTTTCTCAAGAAACAAGAAAGATCTCAAATACACAATCTAACCCTACACCTAAAGGGGCTGGAGAAAGAACAGCAAATAAAGCCTAAACACAGCAGGACAAGAGAAATAATAAAGATCAGAGCAGAAATCAATGAAATAGAAACCAAAAGAACAGTAGAACAGATCAACGAAACTAGGAGATGGTTCTTTGAAAGAATTAGTAAGATTGATAAACCCCTGGATAGTCTTATCAAAAAGAAAAGAGAAAGGACCCAAATAAATAAAATAATGAATGAAAGAGGAGAGATCACAACCAACACCAAAGAAATACAATTATAAGAACATATTATGAGCAACTATATGCCAGCAAGTTAGATAATCTGGAAGAAATGGATGCATTCCTAGAGATGTATAAACTACCAAAATTGAACCAGGAAGAAATAGAAAACCTGAACAGACCTATAACCACTAAGGAAATTGAAGCAGTCATCAAAAATCTCCCAAGAAACAAGAGCCCAGGGCCAGATGGCTTCCCAGGGGAATTCTACCAAACATTTTAAGAAGAATTAATACCTATTCTTCTGAAACTGTTCCAAAAATTAGAAATGGAAGGAAAACTTCCAAACTCATTTTATGAGGCCAGCATTACCTTGATCCCAAAACCAGACAAAGACCCCCATCAAAAAGGAGACTTACAGACCAATATCCCTGATGAACATGGATGCAAAAATTCTCACCAAAATACTAGCCAACAGGATCCAACAGTACATTAAAAGGATTATTCACCATGACCAAGTGGGATTTATTCCTGGGCTACAAGTTTGGTCCAACATCCACAAATCAATGTGATACAATACATTAATAAAAGAAAGAACAAGAACGATATGATTCTCTCAATAGATGCAGAAAAAAGCATTTGACAAATACAACATCCCTTCTTGCTCAAAACTCAGAGTATGGGGATAGAAGGTACATATCTCAATATCATAAAAGCCATCTATGAAAAACCCACACTGAATATCATTCTCAATGGGGAAAAACCGAGAGCTTTCCCCCTAAGATCAGGAATATGGCAGGGATGTCCACTGTCACCACTGCTATTCAACATAGTACTAGAAGTGCTAGCCACAGCAATCAGACAACAAAAAGAAAGAAAAGGCATCCAAATCGGCATAGAAGAAGTCAAACTCTCACTCTTTGCAGATGATATACTTTATGTGGAAAACCCAAAAGACTCCACCCCAAAACTGCTAGAACTCATACAGGAATTCAGTAAAGTGGCAGGATATAAAATCGATGCACAGAAATCAGTGGTATTTCTATACACCAACAACAAGACAGAAGAAAGAGAAATTAAGGAGTCGATTCCATTTACAATTGCACCCAAAACCATAAGATACCTAGGAATAAATCTAACCAAGGAAGCAAAGGATCTGTACTCAGAAAACTATAAAATACTCATGAAAGAAATTGAGGAAGACACAAAGAAATGGAAAAACATTCCATGCTCATGGATTGGAAGAGCAAATATTGTGAAGATGTCAATGCTACCTAGAACAACCTACACATTTAATGCAATCCTTTTCAAAATACCAGGAAAGAAACTGAGCATTGCTGGAGTGGTGGGGGGTGGGAGGGATGGAGTAGCTGGGTGATAGACATTGGGGAGGGTATGTGCTATGGTTAGCGCTGTGAATTGTGTAAGACTGCTGAATCACAGACCTGTACTGCTGAAACAAATAATACATTACATGTTAAATAAAAAAAAGAAGAAGAAGAAGAAAATAGTAGGAAGGGAAAAATGAAGGGGGGTGGGTTTGGAGGGGGAGATGAACCATGAGAGACTATGGACTCCGAGAAGCAAACTGATGGTTCTAGAGGGGAGGGGGGTGGAGGGATGGGTTAGCCTGGTGATGGGTATTAAAGAGGGCACATACTGAATGGAGAACTCTGTGTTATATGCAAACAATGAATCATGGAACACTACATCAAAAACTAATGATGTAATGTATGGTGATTAACATAACATAATAAAATAAAATTAAAAAAACAAAGTTAAAAGAAAGGAAAAAAATTATTTGTAACAATGAGAGAAAAATAATACCTTAGCCTAGGATATCTAGACTATTATTTTTATAGAGTATTATTCCAGGTAGCTTGACTTCCTAAGTTCATGAATTCAATCAGTGCCTTTTATAATCTACTAGTGATGTGTGTGTGTGTGCGTGCAGGCACATGACAGAGAAATACATGAGATTAATATTGAGCAACATATGATAAATAGAATACAATTTTGTACACAATATATTTTAAGAATTCATAACTACCAGGTAAAATATATGTACACATATATAAAATCACTGTTAAAATTATTAACTCTTAGGGATTAAAATTACAAAAACTATTTCAATTGCCAAATGATATTCTATTTTCAGTCTAAGATTTTTCAAGAAATTAAGTGAAAAGTTATCCCTTTGACTTATTAAGCACTTGAGAATCATAGTAGCATTTTTCTTAGACTTCAGACCTAACCATAAATTTTAAAATAATGTCTATTTGTAAAACCCTAATTGGTTATAATATTTGAATACATATCTCAAAATAACATAAAATTTGATGATTCAATTTCACATTTCAACTTTTTATGTGGAGCTTTAGTCTATATTCTAAAACAAGTATCTTACAAACCATTCTACCCTTTACTTTAGTAACACAGTCAAATCAATTGCAAAAAAAGTTTCTTTCTTTTGTTTAATGCATGAAAAATGTATTTATTGCTGATTTTCTGACTTTGAATAAAAGCTTATCATATAAACTTTATTATTGCACATTAAAGAGGTGTTTTGTTGAGACAAAAATAAAATAAATTATTCATAATCAGTAAATCTTTGTAGTGTAAGAGTTTAAATACAGTGATTATTTTGGACTGGTTAAAAGAACAGTTAGTGCAAAGTCTTACCACGCCAATGGAAAAGTAATTATTGATGATACTGTAAGGCACTGGGTCTCCCTTCTCATCTTTGTCATTAGGTATGACTTCAAACTTCCACCTGTCCAACATGATTTCTGTGCTGTTTTCAATGTCTTTTAGGATTTTCATCAGATTCTCACCTTCATAACCTAATGAAAAAAAATTATCTTGAGAAAAAATATAACCAAATAACAAAAACTGTATTTATATGTGTTTGAGTGTGTGTATGTGGATTCTAAAGCCAAACAATGCATTTTACAGCAAATTCTAACACACATAAAGAATTTACTATAATTGTGAGCTCATACAAATATTTTATTTTTAGCTTTAATTTGCAACTCATACTTCTCTCTCGTGGTGCCAATTCTCAGTATAGTCAAATGCCAAGTGGACATCTCCACTGCATACGCTCATAAAAGTTTATATCAATGTATTCAAAAATAAATGCCTCCATATCTTCTTACTGTTAACTCTCTTTCAGACAGGCAACACCCTCTACCCAATTATGGAAGTAAAAAGCTTGGATGCGATTTTAGACTTGTCTCTTTCCATCCCTCAATGATTCTCACACTTTACCCTCTATTGATACAGAACAATTTTTGTTTAAATTGAAGGTCCTTCTCTTTTTCATTTTGTGACATTTCATCTCTTATTCTATATATCCAGAGTATCCCTTTTCTTTTGGTTGCCTTGCTTCTGTTCCTGCTGCAAGTTTTATATTTGATAGCACTTCTTCCCAGAAGCCACCCTCCCAAAATAATGGATTTTCTACAGTTCCACAGTGCACAATTCTCCAAACTAGCCCTACCTAAAAACTAGGACACTGTATTATAGTTATTTGTATCTTTCTCACTACAAGTTTCTTTTACCAGGTCTGCCTTAGAGTAAATGCTCAACAAATCTAGTTTCAATGGATCTACTGCAGATAATCAACATGGCCTGAAAATAAAGGTATTCCTGAATATTAATATTTTCTCTTAAATGTGTCGCTATAACATTATAGTCCAAACTGTAGCCTAATCCTGGTTGTGTTAATGTTTGCTTTTAACCTCACTAAATAGTGTCCTCCTCTGTAAAAACTTCTGTTTATTGTGAGAATTAAATGAGAAAATGCGTAAAAGTTCTTAGTACATGAGGCATAAGAGTAGAAAGTTCTCAACCGTATAATGATAACAATTTGAATTATTGTACTAAGTTAAATAATATCTCTCTAACTCTACACACAGACATATACACACATTCTTGAATTGATATTTTGAGTTGGAACAATATTTTCATAGATTTTTTTTTCTGTGTCCAACTTTGGTCTATATTTTAATAATGTATTCATTGAACAAGTAAACGCCAGAGGCTATGAGTCCTCATTAGAGGTGTTAGCACACATAACGCTGGAAAAACTAATTGGGTTAGAGGAAAAAAAGAAGAGGCACTGTAATATGCGAACACTCTCTAAAGATAAATAAATTACATTCATGATGTATTAGTTTAATTATTAGAAATTCAAGGCAGCCAGAATCTGGGAGTGCCTATTTAGGCACCCACCATTACTTTTATCTTCCACAGATAAAATAGTCATGTACTAGTTAATACATACAACAAAGAGTACAACAAACAATGACTAGGCAGATATAAGCATTAAAAGTACCAAATAGTATTTTAACAAATGTTCAATTGCATTTTGTAGCATAATTCAAAAACTATGAATATACATAATAATTTGTGTATAATAGTACTCAATACAAACACTGAATTATTTAAAGTACAAGATTATAATAAACTTACGTATATTTCACATTTTTAATAGTTCTACCCTCATTCTCAAAGTTTAATTATAAATTTTTAATTTCTTTTAAAATAATAAATATTAGCCTCCAAGTACATTTTATGTTTTCCTCATTGATCTGAATAAAAAAAGTATATTCACCTCTTTTACAAATTCTACTCATTTGAAAATAAGTATGATGATTTTCAGACATAAATGGATTTACACATATTAATGTAATATAGTATAATATAGCATGGAAGTACACTGTAATATATAATAAAATATAATATGATATTTATATATATGCATTCAGCAGATATACAAGCAAATAATAATTATTTAAGTAAAATTTTAAGCTTGTCCCTAGCTACATCTCAAGTTAATAGCAGCATGGTTCATTACAACACTAGAAAAATGTAAAAACAGCACCTGACCAGGAGAGAACAAAGTAGGAATGGATTTAGTGAAAATTAATTACCACAGCTAGATTCTACTAATGCCACTCACCTTAAAATCTTTAGCACTGGTTATGTTGTCTAAGTTTTTATGGATAAGTACGAAAGAGGTTAATATCAATTAGCCTTCTAGCCAAATAAAAATGGAAAAAGATAGGCCATAAATCTATTTTGAGACTCTCAGCATCTGCAGGTCAGAGCTAATCTACAAAGATGACAAATTCCAAATTGTAGTCCCCAAATTTAACATATAACTACACCCTACTTGTATTTATCTATGCTCAAGCTTGTTACATAATGATTCATAGCTATAAATAGGATTGCAAAACTCAAGATCATATTTTTTAAAAAAAGACATATTAAACTTACTAAATATAGAAGTAAAAGCTTATTCCCAGAAAAGAATGATGTTATTTTGCTTCCATTATTTTAATTTAAACCTATAATCCCTCTAGGCTAAGAAACAAAATAAAAACATAATTAGTATTTATTTTCTATTTAATGATACAATGTTATTACCAAATCTATCTAAAAAGCCACAGAAATTTTTAAAAAGGAAAGTCACATAAAGGAAAGCAACAATATAGATTTGTCAGTGTGTGCTCCATCTAAAACTCTTACTCTTCATGAAACATTTTTCCTGAAATAATCTTAGATTTTAGACTACTTAGTACTAGAAAAATTGCAAAGAGAATGTAAATTAAGTATTTGCAAATGCCCTAGGACATCCTACATTCTTACAGTGTTGTATTTTCCCAAATATATTCTTGTAAAAAATAAGCTTCAAATCAATATATTCCAGTGACCTAAAGTGAACCAAATGATTATTGGTTGAATAAAGTCCTTTCTTTCCCCAATGCTAAGCATGATGATACTTGCTACAAATATATACTCAGCACAAACCCTAGGCAAACAATTTGATGGTTTGGTGTAAGAACCTACAAGGCAGGTACTATCATTTTTTCAAGCTCTAATGAGGAATCTGAAGCCCACAGTTGGTAAGCAATTTGCTCAAAGTTAGTTACACACCTGGCAAGAAATAATCACACTTCACAGCATGTTTCTTTATTAATAAACTCTATCAAATGGCATCTGCGTTTTCCTAATCATTCAACTTAGGCATCTTGCAGTCCCCCTTAATACCTTGGTTTTCCCAAAGCCCCTCTCCAATCCAGGGACAAGTTCTACCAGTCCTTCCCTAAAAATAGAACTCCACTGTGTCTACTTGTCTCATTTCCATTACCACCACCCGGGTCCAATCCCTTCATTCTCTAATTAGAAAAATTGTAACACAAGTTATTTGGAAAACTATGATTCTCTACATTTTCACAATTTCTTAATTTTCTTCAGTGTATTTTATACCTCCCAATTAATCTATTTTTGAAAAAATAAATGTCATTGTATCATGCTGCTTTTGAAACTCTTTCCAAGCTTCACTTTGTGCTTCAGATTCAATCAAATAAAGCCCCTGTATTATTTGGCTCTTGATTGCCTCTCCAATCTCATACTAGTCACTGTCTCCCCTACCCCACTCCTTACCTACCCACTGCCTCACAGATGATTAAAGAGTCACATCAGCCTTCCTTGAGCCCTTTCAATTTCAGAAGCTATTTTTTCTTCCTTACATTTTAAATCTAGCTTAAATGTTACTTCCTTGGAGAGGGCTTCTAGATGATTTAGCTGAATAGTTCCCCTCTACTATTCTCTAAATACGTTTGAGTCTTACATAGCTTTGATCTTATTTTGTATTTATATATTTTATTGTTCATTGATTTATTACCTATGTACTCAATTAAAACATAATCTCTAGAAGGTAGGAATTTTATTTATTTTTTCACTCTAAATCCAGGACATAAAACAGTGTCAACACATGCAAGGCACAGACAGAGAGTTTTTTAATAATATATGCTTTGGCATATAATACAATTTGTGTGTCTTTGACTACCGATATTAATATATCTTAAACTGTTTCATAAGAAAATCATTAGAAGATGACCCAAATGGAACTTCCATGTCAATTTTGAGATTGGAGCCATTTATGAGTTTGGAATCTAAATGAAACCATTAATTTTCAAATATCAAAAATAGTTTTCAAAAGAATACACAAGAAGGCACATGTGTGATTCTCTTCCTTTTAATCAATATAGATATGTAAGCACTAGCAAATATAAGCATCTTATAAGCAATGGTTCTATCCATCTGTCTGTCTGTCTTTAGATTCTATGAGATTTAACTCAGTGTTTCATGATATTATTTTACTAATTTATACCCTTAATGAAAATTATAAATATTTCATATATCAAGTTTTTAACTTAGTCTCCAACTCTGTCTGTTATATACATATACACATACATACACATACACATATACAAAACACAGCTTAGAGTTTACCAGTTGGTTTGATACTCATGGAAAAATTGTTCTCATATGTGCCACAAGAATTCAAAGCCTCTTTGAAGGTAGACCTTGTTTTCTGTCCTTAACCCTCTACCCCAAGAATAGAACATACCCACTTGGTATAAAGTGGGTCTCAAAAAATAAATGTTATTTAATGTATTCATTCCTGGACAAGTCATTCATTAGCCTTTCAATTTTTTTCTTTGTTAGTGATGTTACTACACAACTCAGATGAAAAATCTGAACATTACTTTAGATTTAATCCATGCTTATCTTATTTTTTAAGTTAGAAACCCCAAATCAAGGAAGTTTAGAAACTTGCCTTGCCCCATCAAGTCTATAATTAGTATCAGATTAAAGGCCAGCACTCACAGTCCAGCTCCTTGTCCACTATTCCCTTCTCTACCCCAGACTATTGTTCAAAATTATATACTGTATCTCTCACAGCAATTATATTTGCTAAATTCACATGGCAGTTGCCATATATTAAAAATGATGGGCTTAGTTTTGGGGGGAAAATGCTCTGCACTGTATTTCTGTTTTTCAAGATTTTCGTTAGCTGTTTTACCTCCTCCCCATCGCAGGCATCTTGCTAGATCATTGCCGGTCCCAAGAGGCAGAATTGCAACTGGAGGATGCTTGACAACATTAGCCTTTTCTGTGGAATCAAAAATTAAAATAAAATAAAATTTTGATCACAGATGGAACAACAGTAGAAAAGACAGCTTGGCATGAAATGAAGGCATTCCACTAAGTACATAAAAACAGAAAAAGTTATGTTTTATAGCTATATACAATTAGAAAGTAAGATTAATTTGTATGTATTTGTAGCAATTTATAAAACACAGATGAATACCATAATTCACGAAGTGATAGGAATTTTCAAGATTCATGTCTGAATCTTTAAAATCTTAACTCAGGGAATGCCTCAGTGGCTCAGTCGGTTAAGTGTCTGCCTTTGGCTCAGGTCATGATTCTGGGGTCCTGAAATCAAGCCCTGCATCAGGCTCCCTGCCCAGCAGGAAGCCTGCTTCTCCCTCTGCCTGCCACTCCCCCTGCTTGTATGCATACGCGCTCTCTCTGACAAATAAATAAATAAATTCTTTAAAAAATAAAATAGAATCTTAACTCAGTTAAAAATTGTTGTGGATTTGGGACGCCTGGGTGGCTCAGTTGGTTAAGCGACTGCCTTCAGCTCAGGTCATGATCCTGGAGTCCTGGGATTGAGTTCCGCATCGGGCTCCCTGCTCAGCAGGGAGTCTGCTTCTTCCTATGACCCTCCCCCCTCTCATGTGCTTCTCTCTCTCTCTCATTCTCTCTCTCTCAAATAAATAAATAAAATCTTTAAAAAATTGTTGTGGATTTAACATCATGGAAATTTCAAGGATGCATATATATACATCATAAGAATATACTAGAGAGACATCACCAAAGTTGAGGTATGGGTTCCTATAAAAAGTTCTTTTGGAACACCAACTCTAGATGCATTTCACTCTAAGGAATAAAATATTTTGAAAAATCAAACTCTAAAAGCTAGTAAAATTCAAAAAATGTTTCACTGTGTTGTTCCTGCCCATGGTGCTGCTTTGGGTCAGAGTAAGCAATGTAAGAACTGGGTAACTCTGAGATCAGCAGGTTTTCTTTGAGATTAAGCTTTACAGAACATAATGCTTTGGGCTCAGAGCAGTAAAGATCACTACCATTGAAATTCCACATTTTTTAAAAGATTTTATTTATTTATTTGAGAGAGAGCACAAGAGCAGGGGCAGGAGGAGCAGAGGGAGACGGAGAGGGAGAAGCCGACTCCCCACTGAGCAGGGAGCCAGACTCCATCCCAGGACCCTGGGATCATGATCTCAGCTGAAGACAGATGCTTAACTGACTGAGCCACCCAGGCACCCCAAAGTTCCACATGGTTTTGCTTATACTGATTGATAGAGAGAGAGAGAGAGAGAGAACACACACATGCACGCACATGAACAAGCGGGAGGGTTGGGGGAGGGGCAGAGGCAGAGGGAGAGAGAGAATCTCAAGCAGACTCCCTGCTGGGCATGGAGCTCCATGCGGGGCTCAATCTCACAACCCTGAGATCATGACCTGAACCAAAACCAAGAGTTAATGCTTAACCAACTGAGCCACCCCGGTGCCCCCACATAGTTTTGTTTAAGCCATCATATGGCTTGAATGACTCTCACAAGCATATATTATTTTCTTCATTTTTTCTACTTTCTCAGCCCCTCAAAGTGAGTATTTGCCTATGTGGAAGAATGGGGAGGGAACAGATTATTTAGGGATGGATGTGTCATGGTGTAAGAGCCAAGGCTTAGATGTGAGCTAAAATAAACTCCTCATATCCTACCATTTTCACTAAAATTCTCACAAGTATTCAGACTCTGTTCAAGCAACTCTAATTTCTGCAGTTTCTGAATTCTGATTTTCTCCTTAGATATTGCATATTATACTACTTACATCTTTTATTGGAAGGCCAAAGAACACAATTTTCACTGTTGCTTTAAAAAAAGAAAGTTAGTAGACTAAAATCATAAGATGCTTACCAAAAGTGTGCTGACAACATGTATTTACTTTTAATTTGAATACTTTTGTGTGCATGAGAAGATAGAATACACTCACTTGCATTAACTAAATAAAAGTGTTTCAATTTATATAGGCAGTAAAACTTATTTTGAACAAATTATTTCCCTTTTGTGAAAGGGCCCATTTAAAAAAATATATTTATTTGAGAGAGAGAGAGGGAGAGAGCACGAGCAGGAGGGGTAGAGGGAAAGGGAGAGAGAATCTCAAGCAGACTCTAAGCTAAGTGCAGAGCCCAACACGGGGCTTGATCTCAGGATCCTGAGATCACGACCTGAGCCAAAACCAAGAATTGGATATTCAACCAATTGTGCCACCCAAGTGCCCTGAAACGGGCCATTTTTAACAAAGAATTAGTCAATAAAGAAATGGATATTTGTTTGGGATTTATCTCCTAATGAAGGCCAATTCATGATCATTTTACTGCTTAGTATCACTTCTGACAGCTGACTGTCTCTGAAAAACCTGATAATATTTCTAAATCATCAAGATTTTGTGATACCTTCTACATTTTATTCTCAGTCATGTATCTGCTTTGTTTGCTTATAAAAATGAAGTTGTAAAAATGTCAAGAGAGAAGCAATCTAGGTTAAGGTTAAAGGATGAGCTCTAATCCCAGTTCTGTCAATTTACAGCTCTCAGACTCCATTCTAATTATTTAACTTCTCCGCACCTTAGAGCCTCTCTCTAAAATAGGATTATCTATACTGTGTCACAGAGTTGTGAGAATTAAGATGAATCGGGGAGGGGGTAAAAATCTTAGCACAACATCTATGAGAGAGTACATGATAAATAAAAAATAGCTATGGTAATAATAATGATGGATGCATATGATAAGAATGTCCACAGAGGGTAAGGTTTTGAGGTGACATGCTTAAATAAAATAAGCACATCTATTTGACATAAATTTTATCACAAATTCTAAGATTCTCTTTGGCTCCCTCCCCAGGTCAAAGAAACAAATGGAATTTGTAGAGCCTGATTTGAAAATAACTCTGGGGGTTTAGTAAGTTCCACAAGAAGCGGATTAAAAAAGAAAGATTTTTAGATACTTGCAAATTATTTTGTCAATTAAAACTTTGAAATATAGAAAACACATTAAACCAGTAAGTAATGTGCAACAATGCCAGGTATCCGATTATATCACTGTAGCATCCAAAGATATCAATGCATTAATAAAATAAATAAAATATACAGAATTTTAGGTTACCACTCTCAACCCAGCCATGTTAAGTATGTGTCTTCATTACCTATGCAGTCCAAAATCCACCCCACGGTTCCATCTCCACCACAGGCTAACACTCTGAAATCAGGAACATCACGGAAAAAGTTTAACCTGCAAAATAAGCACGTTACGGCACATGATTGATACTTTAAAATTCAGACTTGTAAAGTTTTGTATTCTTAGCATTTTATCTAATAAAAGACATTTTTATTTGATGAGAACTGTAGGATAATCTCAACAATTTTATTGAAAAATATTAAATTCTTATCTAGAATAAAATTCTAAAATTAAAGAATTAACATCTTGATTTAAACATATATTAGATAATATATTTTTTTCAACTCAAGTTTAAAAAAACAAAACTAATACATTATAATATCTTGTACTAAAATATTCTCATTTTGATTATATGTGATCTGCATTTCACATATAATCCAAAGTGACATTTACTACAGCATTTCATTGAATAATTGAGATTCAATTATTGAATTGAAAAAATTCTTTTGAATCATTATATAAATACAACTATTCTGCCAGCAAATATGTCTTTGAGAGTTTTCAGCCTTTTCTATTACTGGAAGAAATTGATCACACTGCTTTGGGGTTCTGTTTCAGTGTTTCCTTTGACTTAGAATTTGCAAATGGGAGCCAGCCTTCCACTTGTCTTTGGACATGGCCCTCAGTGTCTGCTACCTCCGAACACTCAAGCCTAGTTGCTGGGTGCCCATTGCTTCTGTTGCTACTGCATACAGCACTATGCTTATTAAAGCAACCTACCTTGGAGAAAGTTAAAAAGGCAGGTAACACAGCCAGTTATACAACTGTACATGCCTATTTTCTTGCAATAAAAAAGAATTGAAACAAGACAGAAATATGTGGAATGTGTCCGTTTACCTCCCTTGCCCAGGAATAACCACTGGTAGTAATATAATATGCAGTCATCCAAGAAATTTTGTCTATATATTTACATATGAATTTTATTATACACATATTTTTAACATGAATAGGATCATGCTATACATCCTGTTAATTTGTGTGCATTTTTTAGTTTAAAAACGTCTAAGAGATCTTTCTGTGTCAGCTCATACAATGTTGCATCATGATTTACAATAAGTGAATGTATTACATAAGGTATTCATTATGTGATCAAATAAACCATTTCTCTTCAGGTACTGTTAAACTAATTCTAGTGTTTCACTATTACAAAAAATAAGTATTATAGTTAACACTATTTGAAGTACATATATGTGAACATAGGCATATGTTTTGAAGGTTGATCTTCTAGAAGGGAAATCCACTATACCATCATACTACTCTATGAACAGCTCCTGCTATAAAAGATGTCAATTTCTGTCAAATCCAAAACACTACATGTAAACAACTTTATGATATTTCTTCAATAATGAAAAATCAAATTATGTTTTTATTGTAAAATCACACATTCCTGTTTGCAAGTGGGTTGAGCATATTTTTGTAGGTTTACAGGTATGTGATCTCTTCTGCGAACTGCATCTTCAAACTCTTGCCCATCTTTTCCATTGAGTTGTCTTTTATTATTATCTTATAAATTCTACATATTATGAGTGTTGTTTTTCATTTAAATTAGCATTATTAGAAAAACATTTTGTTGAAGTAATACAAATAATGCATAAACATAATAGAAATGTATAAAAATTAACTAAAACCCCACCACCTGATATTAAGAGCCATGAATATTTAGAATATCAAGCTTTCACGTATTTCCTTAGGTATTATATTGTGGATATTTACCTTCTGTTAGACATGTTGCAATATTTTGAGTCTTTTTCCCATTTGTTTGCTTATATCTTGTATAATATTATTCATAATTTAAGTACCTATGTACCAATTGCCCACCCCAATGGGAGAACATTTCTAAAACTTACATAGACTGCTGTGCAGTCCATTTCTCCTCAACCACAAAAGTGAGCACTATTCTAAATTTTCAGTTATCCTGCACATGCCATAGACAGCATTCTGTTCATTTTTTGCTTTTCCCACTTAGTATTGTTATTAAGACTCATTCATGTGATAGCTGAAGTTCTCTCCATGCATAGTTGAAGTTATTTAATTTTTACTGCTAATTATCATTTATGTGAGTGTGCCTTTTTAAACCCATGTCAATGGACATTTGGATTGGTTAGTTTATGTTCTTATAAAAACTGCATTATTGGACATGCTTCCTAGTGCTCATGGACAAAGGATACTTTCAGAGTAGGGTATACTTTTACGGAAATTTTTGTTTCCCCAAAAAGTTGTATCAATGCATGCATTCATTTTCAACATAGATATTTGACTGAGTACATTCTTTCTAACACTTTTAATGTCACACTTCTTAATTTCATGGGTTTCCTCTTTTGTGAAATGGCTATTCTTGACTTTTGTTTCCTTTCTCTACTTTTTCTCTTCTTGACTTGTAAAAATTCTTTACTTGTTCTTAATTTTAATGCTTTTTTGCAAGTATCTTCTACACAAATTGAATTTTTTAACTTTAACATGTATTTTAATAAACAAGATTTGGTTTTAATGTATTCAAATTTATCAACCTTTTCATAAGTGGTTAGCACTGTGACCTGTATTGTGTAAGAAAAGTTTGCCTACTCAGAGGTCAGAAGATAATTCATGTATACTCTTTTTTAAAATTTCAGTTTTACTTTTAACAGTTCTATGTTGTGGTGTGAGGTAGGGATCCCTTTATTTGCTTCCCTTCCTCTTCCTTTCCCCCTCCCTCCATCCTCTCTTTCTTTCCTTTTCCCTCTTCCTTTTTCCCTTCCTCCCTCCTTTCTTTCCCTGTGGCTGTTGTGCACCAAGTTTTCTCTCTTCTTTAATCCATCCTTTTATTTATTACATAATTCCGCTTCCTACCATGCAAGCTCCATCATAAGTCAGATTTCCATATGAGTAAATTTCTTTTTGAACTGTTTTATTTTATTCATATTTTGTCCACCCCTGCACCAGTACCACATTCTTATAATTCCTTAAGTAGTTTTATAGTAAGTCTATATCTCACAGAGCATGAAGAATCTAGGGTATTATTCCTTCTTTGATTTTCTATAAATATTTTAAAGTTAACATGTCCTATTCCACAATAATAAAGATAAAAATAAATAAAAACCAATTGTGACTTTGATCAGAGTAACATTAAGCCTATAGATCACTTTTGGGACAAATAAAATCCATATAATGTTAATTAGGTTTCCTCATCCATGACTATAGTATACCAATAATGATGGTACTATTGGTGATCTCCAATCCTTATAATTGTTATTTCTTATTGTGCTGTCCAGAGCTCCAAAACATCGCTGAATTCGGATATTCATAGGCAATGCTCCTATCTTGTTTCTAAATTTAAATGGAATATTTCTATATTTTTCCCATTTAATATGATGTTTTCATACAGATTTTCTTTTTCTTTTTTTTAATTTTTTTATTGTTATGTTAATCACCATATATTACTTTCTTTTCTTTTTTGAGAGACATCTTTTATAAGGTAATAAAATTTCCTTTTATCTACTATAGTAAGGATTTTTATTATGAATCTGTTAAATTTTTTTGCTGCATCTTGAGATGTTAACATGGTTTATCTCATTTAACCAACAGTGTGGGAATATATATTTAAATATTTTTGTATCATTAAAGCACCCTTATGATATTTTTATATACCCAAATTGGACACTGTTTATTAATATTTTTATAGAGAACTGGATTCAGTTTGCTAATATTTTGCTTAGACATTTTGAATCTATATTCCTGAACACAAGACTTACTATTTTTCTTCCTGATACCATCTCTAAGTTTTTGACAAAATTATTCTGTCTCAGAAAGTGAGTTGCAGAATAGGCCCTCATCTCGATTTGTGGAAGCATCTGTACAATTTTGGAAGTTCCTTAAAACTCATAGTACTTGCATATAAGCTATTCTATTTCTGGTGAGTCTGGTTTCTCTCTTTCTTTCTATTTTTAAATAATTGTTTGAATTCCTTTAAAGATTATTGAACAAAATTTCTATTTTTCTAATTCTCCCTAAATCAGTTTTTGCCAGTTACATATCCTATCAATTTGTCTATGTCCTAATTTGCAAACATTGTCTCATCGAAGCCTAGAAAAGTTTTTCAAAATTAGCTGGCAGCTGAAAAGTTTACCATAGAGCTAATTGTTTTTGGTGAAAGCCTAACCATCCATTTGACTCACCATTGTTCTTCTATTCCATGATGATGTTTCATCTGTTATTCATTCTTGTTTCTTTTAAAATTGTCATCATTGGTTCTTCAGCAGCATCCTACCCCCAAACATAAACCCCATGTGACTGTCAGACCAGCTTACTCTCTGTAAATTGATTGCTAAATGGATTGAAAACTTGACCTATCTCAGCCTCTTAATCCACTCAATCCATGCTGTTTTCCCTAGAGATTCATTCATTCCTTATTTCATTCATTCAATGAACTGTAGCCTTGGAAAATTATTTAATCATTCTGAGCCTTGGTTTCCTTATCTTTAAAATGGAGTTAATGCCATTTGCTTCATTGGGCTATTTCAAGAAATAAACAATATGTGTATGTAAATTAAATTGTATTATCCATAGGTTATTACTAATTCAATTATTTTTCCCTTCATTAATAGTAGTATATATGTTTTATAGGTCAGAGTGCCACTCCTCTATTTTCACCCTCCTCCCCCAGTGTTCTGGCAAAATAATCTCGAAGAGAACTTCCTATCAAGCAAAGCTGGATGGACAGTGAGTTTTCCTACCTTCAGTCTGAAACTATAGCCAATGAACTATGGTTCATAGTTCTTATGGCATTGCCTTAGGGACAGAAAGTGCAGAGGAAAGTAGGTCTGATTGAGAACAAACAAATCCAAGAGACTTGGTAAGAACCAAATACAGGGCTCTGCATGGGTACTAACTTTTCACTTATTAAGCTGTGAAGACCAGCAGATGTCGGGCTCCCACTTCAAAAGATATCCTAACAACAAGAAGGATGAGGGAATAAGAAGTGACTGGAAAGATGCCTGTTAGTAGAAATTTTAGTACTGTGTACTATACTTTCACCTACCAATTTCAGAGGTTCACTTGCAGAATTAATACCTATAAAC